AAACAGTTATACACGATAATCAATGGATTAATTATGACACAAAATATGCGAGAAAAATATGGCGGCATACAAACGTCGTTCACGATGGTCGTCTACGGCCGTCGTATAAAATTGTATTCCATCGTATACGATCATCATTTTACGTCGTATTTTGTTATATACGGTCATATACGATCGCAAATCTTAAACTTGAGATTACACCGTTTGAAATAACGCATTCTACATGCGTTACATATAAATACAGATACCGGTGAAGACATGTGTTTTCGTGCCGAAGCCAAGAGACGTAATGCTATATCGTCATATAGATGTAGATTTTTGGGAAGGATTCGACTGTCACAACAAACACACTTTAATTTTAACTGAATTTTTTCAAATTTTTAAAAGATAAATATCATCATTGTCTTTTGTTAGTTCTTTAAATTCATTCAAATTAATATCTTCATTAAGTAAGGAAAAGGCTTGTCTAGTCAAAAGATGTTCGTCAACTGCCCCTCCCGCTACTAACAATTTAAGATTATTTATTGATTGAATTTTTACATGCTGTATCATATAAGATTTTAAATTTTGTATTAAATAAACTAATAAATCTTTTATATTATCATCATCATAATCGAATTCATCAATTTTTGATGAATGTGACAATACACAAAATTCTTGATTTTCTATTGAACCATGTAACAAAAGACCAATACATGTTGATAAAGCTGTTGTTTTAACATTTGAATGATTAAACTGATTTTCTTCCATATCAACATTACCACTAGAACTGGCAGATTCAGTCATTTTTAATTCTACTATGAATAATATTATTAAATATTATAAACCAAATTACTATTTTCTTTTATCTAGAATAAAATAAATCTTTATGTTGTTTTTCTGTTCAACATGTGTTTAAGAAAAATAAGAAAACTAAGAAAATGGCATATTGCTTTATTCACTGGATATAAAGAACAATGATTCATTTCAGCGACAATTCAATAGTATTCTGTCTATCGATTAATGTTTTGTTAAACGATTGAATGAATATATCAGTCGTTTAACAAAAAAAAAGTTTTCTTTTCTAAAGATACGGCATTTGAAATAAAAATGAAAAAAAAATAATTACAATTATGAATTAATTATATAATTTAATGATTTTATTCTTTGATTAAATTTTATTCAATTAATTAAACCTATTAAGTCTGACATCTTTTTTTTTTTTTCGCATTCTGTATATCAATTGCGAGATGACGAACCGAACACAAAGGATTAAAAATAAATTTAATCGATTATTAGTTTGAAGTTTAACATATCTATTAAGATTTTCTATTATTTGATGAGATATACAACTAAATATTTTATTGCAAATATCAATTAATGAAATATAGTATCCGTCAGAAGTATCGAGACATGTGAAAATACACATAAAGTTCTACTTCTTTCACAAAGCTTTTCCTAAGGATAGAGCTTAAAAAACTGTAATTGCATAACATGAACTCGAGCTTGAGCGATTGCAATCGAGAGAGAATGAAAGCCCAAACACTATGTGCAACTGTACTGAACTGAATTTCGATCCTCTCGAATTTTGTTGATTCAATGTTAATGATTTTTTTTTCTAAGATCGTTTCCTCATAATTTGTAATCGAAAAAAAAATGAGACTAATTTTTATCATTTTTGGGAGTAGTTAGATACTTCGAGATTATTTCTCTTTTTTTTTCTTTTATTTTTGAATATCATTTCAGCGCGTCCATTTTTCTTACAGGTCAAATTGAACGATAACAAGGTCATAAGAGAAATATTTCATTTGAGTAATCGAATAAGAATTTTTTTCGTCAGATAGGTTTATTCTTTTTTGAATGAAGAAAAGAAAGAAAAATATCTGTCTTTCTCGTTTATTATGTACGTTCTCCATTGTCTTGTGATATCATCATTGAATATTGTATAACTGTATTTCTATCTTATAGAAATTTTTTCTATCTTGTAAAAGTTTTTAAACAGGTATAAAATATTTCTTATTGTTTTCGTAGGATTTACTTTCATTGAAAAAAAAAACATTTTAATTATTTAAATTTATTCATAGGTTCGATAACTTTTATTCGAAAATCGACTGAATAGTACACTAACACGAAAAAATCTATTTTTTTTCTTTTTTATTCAAATTTTGTTCATATATTACACAAGTGAAGATACTCAATTCAAAGTATTATATTGAAACACTTTTTAGTATACTCTCCAGAAAAGTATCCAGCTACTAGTATGCTAGAATTTGACTTAGTACATGAGAATTCATCAGGTTTCTATTAAGGTACTGTTCAGTCTCTATAGAGTTCTATGAAAAATTTTCTCAAAAGTTAGTTGATAGAAAAACTTGAAATCATTTTAAAGTCAGACGTCAACAAACCAAAAAGTATTATCAAGTACTTCAGAGCCTTTACGTGTATCTATGATATACTGATATCAGAAGACTTTCTTGGGTGGCTGAGACTTAGTATATTCACTAGGATATTCATTCAAATGGATCGAAATGATAAGAAGAATGGTTGAATAGAAAAGCAATGCACATAGTAATGACAGCCTTAGAAATAAAATATTTCTGATGATTTCTTAAAGATACATATAACAATTTGTTTTTGTTCGAATAAATGTTAAAAGAAGATGTCAGTTCATTTTTAATATTTCATTCTACATAATATTTGAAATGAAAACTTTGTAAAAGATGGATGAAAAACATTTCCATTCAACATTTTTTGACATTTTATAAGAGAAATATTTAGTAAAACAATATTGAGAATGCAGATCAGGATGACAATTGTGTATTCAATAGATATTATTAAAAAGTTAAAGAGATCTTGACTGTTACAGTAAAACTAGAAACGTTTGCTAGATTGCTTAATATCTTCAGATTTGTGTCTAGGAAAAGAACTTATTCTTTATGAATAATTAATGATTATAGTTAAGAACTTAGATATTTTAGAAAAATTCCATATTGTATGGTCACATATAGAAGAAAGAAAATCTTCTGGAATATATTTAATAGCGTTTCTTTTTTTTTCTGTAAATTCTTATTCGTTAATTTGAATAAATTTCTTTAGAAATTCTTAAAGAAGCATTTATTCATAGAATTTTTCAATATCGTGAATAATTAAATTTTTTTTTATCTTTATGCATAATTTATGAAAAATCTTCGAAAAATTCTTTTATTTGACTCATTTTATTAATCATTTTTCTAAGTTCATCAAATCAATGTAGGAAAATACAGGAAGTCACAGTTATCTCTCAAAACTATACAATCTTTAATATGTATAAAAGTAGACTGCTCAGTATCATGCCTTCTTGCTCAATACTATGCCGTCCTGGAGTGGTAAAAGCTATGTAGAGCGCGACACTACTTTTGCTTTTGATATTGCTATTATCGATAGTAAATAGGTACAGTATATTCTTACAGCGTGATCTTTCCTTTTTTTTCTCTGTGTTGAATGTTAAGGTACATGTCTACATCCTGCAAAGCACTATAGAATGTGATCACTTTAGATCTGTTCCAAATATCCGATGACATTTCGATTCTAGCCGAAATTCTAACCTTCCAATGAGAAAACAGAATTGCTCAAAATTGTAGAACTTTTTTAGTAGTTAAATCCATATATCATATTCATTAAAGAGATAAGCAGTATATGGAATAAAAAAAAATGTACCAAAAAATGCTGAAAAGCTTCGTAAATAAATGTTAAAAGGTTTATGATTATGTTTTCTTTTATTAAGTTTGACGTATTTGAATTGTTAAAGATACATTTATGAATAGTATCTGTTTTCCATAATGGAAAAAATAAATAATTGAAAAAAATTTTGATTTTTCATGAAACAGAAATGTAAGTGACTATAGATATATAAACATCTAAAGATTCACATAAAGTCTATTTCTGTTGGAATTTTTTTCAATAATTTTCGATATACAAGTGAATGAATCCGATCGGATCTTGTAATGTACAAGATCCAAAAAAATTTGATGAGATTCCGAGTTGTGAAAGTACTGACACATCTGACGATTCTGATGTACTTACTACTTATTTAAGTAGTATTTATTTAGTAAATATTAAGTAACAATTTTGGATTGAAATTTATCTTCTTGTCGGATTCGATAGACTCTATGTTTAGGAAATGATCAGATTTTCATAGGTTTTTCAACACCTGAGTAGTGCATATGAGAAAAATCAGTTTCAAAGATTTTTAACGTTTAATATAGTCATGAACTTTATTATTAATATTGACATTTTTGTCAACAAAATCTATTGATCTCTCGTTCATGTCATATTGCAGAGTTCTAATGCAATGAGTTGCGTAATATATTTATCGAGTAATAATTGTACAATATCTCTCATTGGTATTTACTTCGATGAAAAAAATAAAGAAAGATTATATCAATATAGAATATATGATTTAAATATGATTGTTTAATAGAATATTCATCATATATACTTTATAAAATACTTTCTTAAAATATGTAATTCAATTAAAAAAATAGTAAAAATAGATATTTTCTATTAATTAACAATAATTTGGAAAATTTTTCATAGATTTGTCTTCAAAATATGAACATTAGGAAGTCGATAGTTTTGAAAAAATTGAAACATTTTTGAACAAATGTTTCTTAACTTATGGACAGTGAAGATTTCGAAATAGTTTGACGAGTAAGAGACAGTAATGCACAAGATGAATCCTTGCGTTATCGTTAAGAAAACAGAGACAAATGGCCAACATCGGGAAGTAATGTTTTGTAAACCTTATCACATGCAAATTTGAAATAATATTTGTCATGAATTTTAATATTGTCAGTAGTTATTTTATTATTTCATTAAAAACAAATGTTTTATTTTAGAAAATGTAAAGAAAAAATGCATAGATTTTTTTAAAAATAATTTTCATATATTAAGATTTTCTGTTTTCATATAAATCAAATAAAATGAAATAGGTTTCGCTTTTGTGTATTCTCCAGCGTTATAAAAAAGAAAAAAACGTTGAATTTTTCTGGTGACTCGATCTTTTGTATTTACTCCAAGTAACTAGAGTGACCAAGCTATCCTACACGCAAAGAAAGAGCGCATTGACTCTACAAATGGATATTTACTGTTCTTAAATAAATAGTCAATAATGAGACTATTTCTGTAAGATTACTTTCACAAGTTTCTAAGAAATGTATAAAATATACTAGTCGCTAGATGGAAATACTTGAACAAAGTATCTCCATTTTTCATATAACTATCAAGTTCTGATTCAAAATTTCATTGGAAATATTATCAATACAGATTGGATTGAGAATCAAAGTTTTTAAGCTTGATGGGTTCTAGCGTTCGGTCGATCTGGTCATTCTATTGATATGTTGCAGATACTGATGTTCTCTTTATATGGTTATTTTCTTAATGAATTTTTCCAAAAGCTCGATAGTAGATAGACGATTATTTTTTTGTTTGATTTAATGAAAAAAGATCTTTCAATTAAATTGAATATAGAGACATTTTACTGAGATTATCAAGAAAGATGAATTGGTATGTAAATGTATATTTTTAGATATAATATGATAAATAAATTAGAAAATCTAGCAAATGAAATTCTTCTTATTATATTATCTTATATACCATGGTTTCAAATCATAGAATCATTTTGGTCATTAAATAAACGATTAAATAGTCTTATTTATTTAAAGACTTTAATGAATAATAATGGAATAATTATTCATAAACGATTTTTATCTTTTAATAGATATCATTCAATAATGACATCGAAAATTTGTGATTTGTTATCATTTTTTTCCTGTATAGAATGGATGGATATTGATGGAAATCATTCAAATTATGATGATATTATATGTCAATGGATTTTTCATCGTGAAATTCTTTATTTTGTTAATTTAAAAAAGCTTATTCTTAGAGAATGTTATTTAACAGAAAAATCTCTTAAAAATTTATCATTACTTATTCAATATCAATTAGATGAATTAATATTAATATTTGATAAAAATATTTTTGCATTATTTTGTTATGGAGCACGAATTCTAAGAAAACGCTTTAATCGAGGTGATTTTACATATTTTTTTTTTCATATTTTCGATCTGAACATTTTTATCATATTATATTGAATAGACTTATTCATTGTACTGAGTCGAAGATATCTGTTTATTCAACCAGTTTTACTAGAGTATACCATTGGAGTATTTTCCTATCAGAATGTTACAGAATCTTGGTCAAGAATGTTAATTAAAGTTATCTCACTATTTCTCCTTTCTACAGAATATAGAAACTCAATTTCGATTTCATACTTTTCTCCATGTAATAGAAGCCAACTCTAATCAGAGCGAGTACAAAAATAACGAAGTAAAAAAAAAACGGATAGATTAGTTCATTGTTTCTCACATTATTCAGATGTAGCTCATCTCCTATGTGTTCGAATTCGATTGCGTTGTATCTTTCTTTTCAAATGCGAACTATGTGTATAGATATGTATTAATAAAAGATACCTATATAAAATCTGTTGGATAGTAATTAAACATGCAATAATATCAATCTATTAATGTCTATTTCAGAGATTAGTGGCTGTGCTCATTTTTCGAATAATTTTTCATAGAAACGAGATAGAGACCTGCGGTTTTCATTGTTGGAAAGAGGAAATAAAGACGCATCGAATCATATTCAGAAAGATTTTTCCAACAGTTTTCCTAAATGTTTTAATCAAACATTTTCAAAAGATAACTTTTTTCATCTACGTTAAAAAAGAGATTTTTTTTATCAAAATACTACAAAAACTTCCATTTTTCGATTATTTTATTGAAAAAATGAGCTAGTATATTATGTCTTCTATGGTTTTGTAGCTCTTTGTGTGACGGTTCTAGTGCACTCGTCAAAATCAATAAATTAATATGATCATCATGATGGGCATGCTGTTTTTCTTGAAGTTTTTTGTACAAGCTTTAGGAAAGTAATTAGATAAACCTTTCTATGTATGGATCGATGCATCTTCATCTTCTTTTTTCAACAGTGAAAAGTGCAGATTTCTATCACAGTTCTATGAAAAATTACTCGAAAAATACCCGCGGCCACTTATTTCTGAAATGGACATTAGTTTTCTTTCTCTAATGAGTGTATATAATGTTCAAAAATATAGTACTGACAAGTCTTTATGAATCTAACAGTAGTATGAGCAAATCTATGACGAAAAACGTGACTTCTCGACAAATTGAATCGTACATGATACCAACTATGCGAGAACTTATCACACTTAAAATTAAGGATCAATATGGAATAGTGCGATTTTGATTATGATAATACTTATCAAATCTGAGTTATTTATTTATTTATTTCTTTAAAAAAATGAGACATCTTTACAATTATGTATTCAAAAGTTTAGTTTATATTCTTGTTGTGATTATTAAAATGTATCTTGTTTCATATCGAAACTATGCATAAACTCTAATAATAAGGGCATACAATAGAACTATAGTGATAAATGTCTAATAGAAATTTCTCTTATAGATCTTTGAAGCTCGATAATTTCTCAACTCGACACATTATGTGACCCTCAGATTTGAATCCATGACAAGATTCACATAATGATGAGTCTCGAAAGCATTATTTAAAAAAACGTTTTTGAAAAGTCTTCTTAGCTATTTCAACATTCAAAGATTGCTGTGATACAGTAATAGTAAGGTGTCTTGAACACAGTAGATTCAGAGAGGAGAACATATTTCTGTCTTAATAACAAGTTTAGATATTATTTTCAAATATTTATGTAATAGAATACAAATTGATGCTCATGTTTCAAGAATTTGTACGTCGATTGTTTTCTGATAAATGTCAATTAACTTCTCTCGAACTTGATTTATCAACTGATTTTTTTAATGTTAATATTCATAAATGTTTTTCAACAATTACCAATAAACCTGTTACACATTGTATGGGTCTTCGTTATTTACATATTCATTTAATTTATGGTTTTTTATTTGAACATCTTATTGAACATGTACCCAATCTTGAAATTCTCTCAGTTCAATTCAAAAATGCTTTACTCTGGAAAAACTCACTTGATTCAGACACCACAACATTTATACCGACAAATGTTAATTGGTGTAATAAGGTAAAATCAAAGGAATATAACGAATATTTTCTAAAAGTAAAACTAGACTTTTTTTGGAATTATATCTCATGTCATAAGCTCTTTATTATTGTTTTAACATAAGGACATTCTTTATTCATATATTATCTAAAATTGATATTTGATTAGTTGTTTTCTAGGCAAATTTCGAGATTGTATGAGTGGTAAGAAAACAAATAATAAGTAATTGTATAATGTATTGTTAATTAGAATGGATTAATCGAAGCAAATGTTGATAGATGTTTAATGTAATCATAATGATTATTAATTTGAAGTATCGAAGAAGAGTTTAATCCGTGAAAAGAATATTACAATTGTTATCATACTAAACTATTTGTAATATTTTAAAGAATAAATAGAAATTTATCTGATTGTATAACATTTGTGAAAAGAAAAACTTGACAAAATCTCTGAGGAATTACAATATAAACTACGATGAAGCTGTTTGTTTACATTAGAAATAATAAAACAATGTATTATTCGTTATAGTTCGTGATGAGAGACATGTTATTTAGGTATTTGTAACAAGGAGAAAGCGTAGTTTTGTACTTTTGAAGTAGAGAAGTAGATCAGAATTCGATGAATTATATTAAAGTGCATGAATATATTTAGGGCATACCAAAAGTAGTGGCGCCGACCCTGTAATATTTTACAGAAGGCTTTAGGAAATTTTTTCTCCATATATTCTGATAGTCCAAGTCGTGCTCTATAATTCTATGATATTTCATAAATCTTCAAGGGATATCATATAAGCAAAACTTTTGATACTCTTAAGTTTTCTGCAGCTTTTACAAATTTTCACCTTGAAAATATACAAGAACCAACTACACACACAAAAAAACAAAAAAACAGAGCACGTGTTTTTCACATGTATAAACGAAGATAAATATCAAAGAAGTTAAAAAGATAGAGAAAAGGAAGAGAAGAGAGAAGAAAATTACTTAGGGTATACGAAAAGTAGTGATGCCATTATCTTATTTTCGTATAGGAAGTTTGAAGAAATTTTCTTTTTAATGTAATAATAGAGAAAATGATGCTCTGTTTTTCTATGCCATTGGATTATACCTCAACTAATATCATGATAATAAAATTTCGACAAGACTTGCTTTTCTCTCAAATGTAACCGTGATACTAAAGTCTATTTAGTGGATAAATTTTGAATAGCTTTTGATAGAAACAAGGCAGAGAGCTGCAGTTTTCATCTTTCGAAAGAAGAGATGAACATACATCAAACCGCATATTATATTTATTCCTAACATGTTGTCTGAAGTTTGTTTAATCAATTTTCTAAATGTGGGAAAATGGCTTCTTATCAAAAAGAAAAGAGGAAAAAAAACCTTATTTTTTTACAGAAATTGCCAGAAAAATCGCTTATAGCTTCGACTAGTATACCTATAACTTCCAAACGATCAATTCTAAACATCTGAATCTTGTGCAAGTTTTCAAACCTCTCATTAGCGGTTTTGAATACACACATAACAATTAAGAATTCACTGTGAACACCTCACTAATAGATTTGTCTTCAAAGAAACCTATTGAAAAAACTTAAATAATTCATGTGAAAAAAAATCTTTAATATATGATTTGATGCATCTTTATCCCTTCTTTCGAACGATGAAAGCCACAGCTTTCTAGCTGTTTCCGTTCTTGAGTTATTGCAAAAATGTCCCTTGCCATTATTTTTTTAAACAGACTCAAGTTTTACACAAAAACAGTTCTTATCGAAATTTTATTATTAGGATATTAGTTGAAGTTAGATCAAATAGTATAGAAAAATAGAGCATCATTTTCTCTATCACTACATAGAAAAAGAAAATTTCTTCAAGCTTTCTATACGAAAATAAGATAATGGTGCCACTACTTTTGGTATGCCCTAAGTATTTAGAAGTTCATCGAAATTTTTTATGAAATAAATGTGGAAATCTCGGATTTAAATCCGAGAGTTATGTGTACTGAAGAAAAGTGAATGAGATAAATCGGTTATCCTAAAATGTGTGGATATAAAAATTAGCCTGGCAAACCCTTTCTATAAACACTTGAATTCTATTGGCTACTGCTCAACCAATAGGATTTCGGAGTGAATACAGCTCAGATTTGGACTCTTCGTCTTGAGTTATTCTAAAAAACTCGTTTTTCCTATAATTTGATTTCTATTGGTCAGTGCTCAACCAATGGGGCTTCAAGTCAAGTGGCTTACAGATTCGGGTTCTTCATCCCAGAAAATCTTGAAGTATTATATCTGTGATCGGAAAATAGAGTTCTACTTGTGGATCGATTAGAGCGCAGACAATAACAAAACCGATTTCCGTTTATTTATCTTTGCAATAGGTGAGCTAGCCTTGTTGTTTCTTTATGTTTTATATACCATTTTGTAGCTCGTGAAATTCTCTATCGAATGGTGTATAATAGTTGGGGTTTTCTTTGACTATGATAGGAAAAGTGTTTTACGAAAGTGAGGATAGGTCGATTTTCCTATAGGAAGCCATAGGGAAAAATGAGTATTTTTGCAATAACTCAGAAATGGCTCGGTCAATTCTTCTCAGCTTCTTCTCTCAACCGAGATATTGTTGAGACTAAACTGTGTAGAAAATTTCATCGCGATCGGACTCTCCTTTCAAAAGTTATCGTGTAAACGGCCGGACGGATACACTGACCGATTCTAGAGTGTATGAACTTTTTGAGTGCACAAAAAGTAAGAAGAAAAAAATAACAATGGTCTAAGAAGTACGAAAGTGCACTTTCATTCTTTCGGGTGTTTGTCACATTGGTGATAAGTCATTAGTAAAATATCTGTAATGTTCCGTTATCAAGAATGTCTACCATGTCTGTAGATTGAGAAGCACAGAGTATTCAAATTTCCACTTTTGAACTTTAACCCTTGTAGATCATGTTTTATAATCAATAATTAGTTTGAAAGAATCTCTTGAAAATGAAAGATGAACCTAAAAATACATAGAAAAATCTGTTTGTTTGCTCATCAATAGAGCATATTCTTTTTGAGTAAGATGATTTTTTGGCATCTAATCAATATTAATGAATAAATAAAGTGATTGTTTTGTACTTGAGTATTAATTCTTGTTGTTTTTCGAATTTTTACAAGATCCCTGTGACTTTGAGTTTTTTCTCCAATGGTGCATGATTGACTCGAGATTTTGTACGATTTCTATGAGAATAAAAACGTTTGACTCGTAGAATAATCTTTTGAAAAAATGTTCTATTTTAGATACCAAAATTAAAATATTTTTCTTTAAAAAGTGCTATAAATAGTCATTTACAGTTCGATTATTTAAAATGGATTCTTAATAATATAAATTATATTGATAAATTAAAAGTTGATTTATATATAAAATATCTAATGGACTTCATTAATGTTATTGATGCAAATTTTCTTCGTAGATATTGTATACCTGATATACTAACCAATTTAATATATTTTGATTTTTATATTATATTTAAATGTCGATTATTATTTTCAAATGATATTCAAAAAATAATTGATTCTTTTAAAACTGATGATTTTTTCTCTGATCATCATTGGACAAATATTAAATGTTTTTTTGATCCTATTTTGTCATGTCAACATATATCATCAACTACAATAATTAAATCAAAATTCTTTCATGGTGTTATGTAATATATTGATTTTCTTCATAATAAATAAACCTTTGCATTTTTCAGTATAGATTATCCAATGATTTTCGATTGGGATTGTATCAAATACATCAAACTTAATTTAGACCCATCAATTTATATAATTCTCAATCAATTTGATAAAATATATCCTCATATTCGATGTATTCAATTTAATATTGGTAAATATTTTTATTTAAAGAAAGGAAATTTTTCTACGTGTAATTTATCACCTCGAACGATATCTCTTGATCAGATTTATTTATCTATATATTTATTACGAATATTTTTCCTAACAATTCACGAAGAATATTCAGGGTGCAGAATCGAGAATAGACAAAAATGAGCGTAAATTGAAAAATATTCACAGTATAGCATGGAGACACGAATTTATTATGTAGAAAAGAAGAGAAACATTACAAATGAAAGAAGTCTGGATGGATGAATATTCAGCAGGAGAAAGGTCATCACTAAAAACCTTAGTGTAAAATGGATGCCCGTATGTAGGTATGGTGTTGGTAAGCGTGGGTGAGAGTGTTAGTGCAGTCATTATAATCGTGCCGCACCCCATCCACAACCAACCTCTTCCACATCCATATTCACATTGACTTCCTGATTGTTTTTAAGAGTGGAAACAGTAAAAAGTCTCTTCATATAATTTTCTTCCATTTAGAAAAATATGATAAAAAATCACGTTAAAATCGATTTCTATAAACACTTTCTTTTACATAGACTAATAGACTCTATATAGAAAACGCCAAAACTATAGTTTGTTCACAAGATTTTCTTGATAAAAGGTATTTTTATTTGGTTCTTTGGCAGAAAAAAAGACGAAAGGCGTCAAAAAAAACGATTTCTGTTAGAATTTGTCACACGACTATAAAAAATTTTTGCGGTAGGTATTTAAAATTTAGGCAGAAAGCTGAATACTTTTCGCATTTAGCCGGCCAAATTCCTGTCATCCTGTCTCTGATCGATAAGTCTGCATTCATATCTATGCACACCCACATCCTTACAAATAGTAAGTATGATGCTTCGCATTTTCTCACAATCTGCGGTAAGCCCAGTTGTAATCGTTCTAGCAAGTATTGCAATTAGTAACAGTTCCATATACCACGGGTAACTTATTTGTCAATGGAGTATCTAAGAAAAAAAATGGAATGTATAATGATGTAAAGAATGTTGTGTCCTACTATTTCGAAGGTACCCATGAAAAAAAATTTGGTATAAAAATGCGTTTCAACGCGTTTTTTTTCTGGTCCACATGTTTTCGCTAGACCTTAAACGCAGTTTTTAAAACGCATTGAAACGCATCCTTTTATTGGGAGAAACCGATATGTACCGACTAAAACGTGTTTCTAAAAATGCATTGGAATGCGTTTTTTTTCCTCTGAAACGCGTTTAAATGGCATTTTATTATTACAAAAGAACGCATATGAGCGATCCTTCCGAATCATTCTGAAAGTATCCTATTTATAGATAATTTTCCAGTAATGATGGATATATTTATCTAATCTATGTACATATACTCCCTAAGAAGTTAGCAAGAATTTTACTTGTGTTTTCTTTTTTTAAAAGACATTTTTTTACACATTTTATCGATAATATATGTAAAAAAAATGTCTTTTAGAAGAAGAAAACACAAGTAAAATTCTTGCTAACTTCTTAGGGAGTATATGTACATAGATTAGATAAATATATCCATCATTACTGGAAAATTATCTATAAATAGGACACTTTCAGAATGATTCAGAGGGGATCGCACAAACTCAAACTCTCATTACGTTGCTACAATTAGTTAGATCTAACTAGAGTTCTGCATAGTAATTTTCACTTCTTGACAGGATAGATACAGTTAACTTACGACAAACGAAAAGGAAGATATGGCTCGAGTAAAACAAACGAAAGAAGGATATAGAGCAAAATAAGCAAAATAAGGATATGGATGGTTAGAGTAAAGTAAGCGAAAGAAGAATACTATTGAGTATAGTAAACGAAAGAAGAATATTGTTAGAACATAGTACGCGGAAGGAGGATATGATTAGAGTAACATGAAGGAAGACAGGATACGATTAGAGTATAGTAAGCGAAAGAGATTCCGTGGTTAGGGTTAAAATAACGAAAAATACAGTAACGTCGGACGAAGAAAAGTTTAGCAGATAGAAAAAAAAGACGGAAGAAATTATCGTGGAAAAATCTAATTCGAGTTAAAGGTACAAAATCTGGTACGGAATTATATAGACAAATGGACTAATAGTAACACAACACTTTCACTGAAAAAAAA